CTTGTTTAACGGCAATATTTTCAGTGGTCAGCTTGTCACTTAACATGGAAATGAAACGACATTTATTTTGAATGTTAGCGATAAATTGTTGTTGATTTGCTGGAACTGTCATAAATTCATCAAAGATAATGTCGAAACATGGAGATGTGTTCGTAGTCCGACGACGTTGTTCTGCTGCTTTAATGTTTTTTTTTTCGATTCATTATAGCCATCAAATACTACCGTCGCTCTATGACTGTAGTGTCCGCGTAGATACTGAACGTATTTTTCAAAGATAACGTTTAAGGTTTGTTCTCGTTCCTACGCAACACAACATGATGTAACAGATATCCTCCATCGACAATGTAAGTAGCATTTGTAGTATCAACTTCAGCATTTACTGATTAAAAGCAATCATTAAAAAGTGCATCGAAGGAATTTTTCAATTTCATGACCGATCGATCATGCGTCTATAGGTACCTCCTTTTCGTGAACTTCGTGAACTAACGGAGTTACTCACGGCTAAAAGAGGGAGTACTTTTTGTGAGCGTTTTAAGTTAATATATTATTAATTTGACCTATCTTTTTTGAAATGTAAGCAATCCCAACTTCACGAACTTTATGGCAATTAATGTTATTACCACTGACGACTCCACTAGCAGTATACTTTTGTTAATTTCGGGAAAAGGATCATGTGATGAAAACAACTCAAGAAGTTTTTTTAATATCTTTTGTATCTTTTTTACTCGAGAACCACTTGCATCTACATGCTGATCCGTTGTATCCAATCGAACATTAGCAAGTACAAGTGCAGTTTTTTTATATTGCAAAAAGTACCCGATTCTAATTATTTGTAGTAATATCGACGTTATAAGGTGAGCGATCTTTAACTATTTTTTATTTCTAAACTATATATATATAAACTATATGGGTGCAGTTTAAATAATTAATTTATTTAATACAATTAAATAACTATTTATTTTAATTGCTTTGTTTATTGACTGAGTCTACGTTTTAGAGTATAGAATAAAAACTTTTCTATTTACAACATCAAGATATTATTAATAAGAACGCCTTTACTAACCTGATGTCACTTTACACCCAAACATTAACCAGATGTTATTTTAGACCCAAACAGTCTATTTTAACCAACTCCCAAAAAGGAGAGGTTATCAATATGTATGTACACTGATTTCTAAGACAGTTCTAGATTTACTAGTTTATGTCGTATCACTAGGCTTGAGAGTTCATGTTCTGAACATTTATTAGTGGCCCTTCACTGTATAGGCAGTGCGCGGTAGCGCGTGCGATAGACGTAACACTAAGTTACATCCAGCGAATATTTTTTTCAGACTTTATTATAGTAATACGGTATAGGCTAGCCTGCACGCCTGACCTACTTGCGAGATATTGCTATTGGTTTGAGATCGCATTCGAGTTTTGTTTTTCTCGATTGTAAATCTGTCATTCTTGCATCCTAATAATTTTTATTTTAATAAAATAAGTACTACCAAGACAAAATAATTTGACTTCGGGAAAAGAACCATTAAAATTTCAGCGTACTTATATGTTCGATCAATCTGTGTGTATATCCTTTCAAATAAAAAAATCTAAATCGGTTTAGTAATTGTAGAAATCTGAGGTAAAAAACATTTTAAAAAAAATACACTGAATTGAAAACCTGCTCCTTTTTTGAAGTCGGTTAAAATTAAATATTACACAATGTGCTTATTGTATTCGAGCAAATTGATTGTGTTTAATAATATTCTTAAATAATATTACGTCTGTATTTTTGTACCATTAAAATATGTATAATTAAGTTATATTAGTACCATTATTATCGTGTTTATTTTATTTCATTTTATATTCTCATAAAATATATCTTCGTACGTAATACGTAATCTTTATTATATCGATTATTTAAAATTAATCAATAAAATAGTAATTTGCATAATTTGATTGCAAACGCCAGAAACTGGTATCACTGAAAGGCGTGTATGTATGCGTGTGACGAGCGTAGGCACATTCGACTCGCGCCCATTAACATAATGACCTTGCATCATTTTAATGCCACCTCCACACGCTTGGTGTTTGCCACATATACCATACACGAACAAACACCGACCACATTCACCCAACACAAACACGGCATCCACACGCTCGGCGAATGTGCTAGTATATTCCGGATAGGCAAACATGACGGACTACGAGCTTGTGGCAGCGATTACTTTCGGATTGACCTATTTTTATTTAAAAAATAAGGCAATATGAATTGCTCTCAAGGTTATTGTATTGAAGATTTTACACACCATAGAATCTCAAATGAATTCTCAATTATCACTGCTATAAATTGTCTTCAGGTTCAAATAAGTTTGGTTTGAACGCTTTTATTCGTATTGCATAACTGATTATTATGTAACACGTGACTCTAAATTAATCTAAAAACAAACTTTATTGAAATTAATGCTTGACTGGGGAATCGAACCCCGAACTTTCGTTCGACATTATATTGGATCTATTTACTTTTAACATAGATTTTCTCTTTATTCGAAGCGCCTTATGAAATAGGCGTAGGTCTTTTCTATGAAAATGTAACGAAATTTTTACTAATCCAAGTGTATTTTATAAGTTGGTCAACTATTACTCGTTGACTTCTTGATTCTTTTTCTACTTAGCTATGATAGTTTTCCTTTTAACTGCATTATATAAACTACTATTGGGTAAACTTTCCACATTTCGATAAACATTGGTTAAGTTGGTTCTAATGAAAAATAACACTTTAAAGCTAAATATTTCACAAACGGACCCCTGAATCGAAAATATGTTGTTCAACACCCCCAATGTTTTTGAAAGACCTATCCAACAATACCCCACATAATAGAATAGACACGTAAAAAAATCATTCTCTAATTACTTGTATGGGAAATACCCAAAATAATTTTTTTTTAAGATTTTATTTCATAGTTATCTAGGCGTGATTAATATTTATAACTGTGCCAAATTACAGATTTGTACCACCTAGGGTCTGAGCAAAACCGCGGACGGACATGGCGAAACTATAAGGGTTCCTAGTTGTGTAACTACGAAAGTCTAAAAACTATTGAATCAGGATATCCTAAACTTATGTAGGATATACTAATCTTATATAATTTTTTCGGATTTTATTTTGGGAATTGATGATCAATGATCCTGCTTTCACACGGGGCTCCTTATAAAAAGAGGTGAAATATTTGTTACCCAATAGAAACATTAATTAGGAGTCAATCACATTATTATTGAGAGGTCTCTAGAAAACTTAAAAAAATATAGGTGGTAGATCTACTAACTTTTCGAAGTAGAATTGGTAGAAAACTCAACTTCTGAAATCATATTTACCTCCGAGACAAATTTCGGATTGGTAACACTGACGTAGAGTATAATAATAATAACCACTAGTAACTCTTTCCGCCGCCCGCAAACCGCAAGCTCGCGCGTACTACTTATTTATACTTACTAGTATAAATAATGTAAAAATGACTCCTTTTAATAAAATTGTTTTTATTCTACTTTTTCTTTTATACTTTTCAAGAAAATAGTTGCTGAAAATCGTTAAGTTCTTCTTTGGATTCTAACCAACCCGTCGAATTAACCTTAACCATTTTTTCTAATTATAGAATCCGGAGGGAATCTGTTTCACAAACGGCAAAATAAAATTACATTTTAGAACGCAAACCGAGCATGAATTTTTTTGTTGTGTCTATCGCAAGTCTATCGATTCATTATAAACATTCAAGATGAATATCGACATTAAATTTGAAATATGTAGTTGAGTCAATCCCTAGCGTACATGTTAACCTCACCTTCGTTACCTCAATTTTTAACCAGAAGATTTCATTATACTTTTGGAAACTTTAACAGATGGATTCCCCCATAGATACTTATACCAGGAAGATTCCCCAGCATAAATATAATACAAATAATGTATGTATATATAAAAAAAAATATATGGAGTTATCATTTGTAGTTACTCATCGAAACAATTTTCCCCCATCCTGAAGTAGTTTTTACAATCGTCAGTTTTAGCAGTTAGTTGAATTTATTTTAGTATATTTAAGCGAGTGTACATTTCTCTCTTAAGTAGCCTCTGTTTAACCCACTGCCTTTTTAAAATCCCTTTCTTCAAAGTAAGGAGTAAGGACTAAGGACCAACACAAGTGATACTACAGCTTTAACCTCATGTAAATTGATGACCACAGAGTACTTTTTAATATGACAATACAACAGACGTTGTTAACGCAGCGGTTACGATACACGGACTCTATGCACGGCCTGAAGAAATAAAGATTGAACGTGAAATGTTGTGCTGCGATCCCGTGATCCATGATCGCGATCAGAACTGTGGGATTGCAATATAGATTGAGTGTGTACGGGCTGCCTACGGGCTGCCATAGTGACCATAGTCTAGTTTTTGTAGTGTTGTCTCTTCTTGCTAGTTTTTACCAAGTATTTCTCATATTTAAATTAGTAGACACTAGACACTTGAATTCATAACTTCCCCTGTGTTTTTATTATTATGCTCGTATTTTTGCATTCAGGCACAAAACACCAATAATAAAGATAGTAACTCAATATGAAATATGCAAAAATATCCTATGCCCATTATTCCTTAGCAAAATCGTTTTATTTACGTCACCATATAGTTGAACAGCATGGCAGAAGCGTATTCGCGCGAAAATTAAAAGCGATGTATTATAAGTATAAAAATTATAATCGTTTATTATCACTAGGATTTTTAAGCACTATTTGAAAATGGGTGTAATGTAATACCATAATATTCTGATTTCTTTCTTTTTTGGCTGAAATATTTGTATTTATCAGGTGTTAGTGGCATGTGGCAACACTAGAACGTAATGTTTAACTTTAATTGTTTAATTTGTAGATTAATTTTATGATTTTATTTTGTTTATTTTTTTGTTTCTTGTTGGTGAAAGTGTACCCCACTTATTCTATTTACCTGAATTTATGTTTAACTTAATCTTAAAATGAGTTTACACAAAGCAAGGTATACATGCATGGACTTATATTTAATTTGCAATAATTATTATGTTCCTGGAGGTATTTTCTTTGATAACTCTTATCAATTTGTAGTAAAGGAATAGAGGGCGTACTGTTTGCAAACACCGGGCTGTGGTAAAAAAGAAAAAAAGATATAAAATCACGAATATTCAGCACCATTTGACATTATTTGACAAAAAACTTTTGATTTTACATAGCTCCATCAATAAATTTTATCATAACTCGATATTTTCTACTAAGTCTGGTTATTTTTAATTCAATATGTTATTTTATGTTTATACTTAGAAACAGGCCTGTTACATAGATAGAAGATCGACTAGAAGTTTTAATCATAGTTTGAAAAGCTTTTACCAATGTACCATATGTTAGTATGCATATTAATTTCTCTGCACAATATTTATAACTCACTAGACTAGCTGATGCTCACCATTGAATATAAAAATGTTATTTTAGCAATAATTGCTATCTAGTTCTAAGCTTTACTAAGAAATATCAAATGAGTAACACCTCATTAAAAATGTGTAAATTTTGTTTTGTGCATAATATGTATAAAAATATGTGTTCAATTTCTATAAATATTGTCATGCTATTTACTCGTTACATTGGCTTGTTTCTTGTAGAAAAACAATTTGTTATGCACATTTTAACATTCTCATGTTACAGTGATGTGAATTGTGTTTTTTGCAGAATCAAAGCGTTTGAAGATATTTTGGAGCAGGATGTTATTGATTTTGAAGTGTTACAAAAGTTGGCTTTCAATGGTAGACATTGTTTTTTTTTATAATATTTTGTTTTTAGTATTTTTTTTTATATATCTTTCTGTTGTTTAGTAAACATATAAATATAAAATGTAATTTACAGGTGTCCCGGATGATAAAGGTCTGCGTTCATTAGTATGGAGAATATTGCTGCGTTATTTGCCAAAAGAAAAATCTGCAAGAGAGTCAACACTCATAAAGAAAAGGCAACTGTATAAACAATTCATAGGTAATATAATATCATATCATTCTTTTATTGTGCATAGTTTATAATACCAAATTGATGTCAAAATTTATTTAAAGTTTGTAAGACGTGTTTTTATTTTTAGATGAGATCATAGTATCGCCTGGGGGCCCATCTGATCATCCTCTTAATATAAGCCCTGATAGTTCATGGAGTACTTATTTTAAAGATAATGAGGTTTTGTTACAAATTGATAAAGATGTACGGAGGCTGTGTCCTGACATTTCCTTCTTTCAATCTGCAACAGAATTTCCCTGCCCAGAGGTAATTTGTTTTTGTCATATTATATAGTAATCTTTAATGGACATGTAGAACTAAAGAAGTTGCCATATAACACAATATTCAGGTGACACACAACCTGTGACAATCACTTTAAATTTTTTTTACTTCACTTGAATGAATTTTGCCCTTTATTGTTTTATCTTTTTGTATACCCATATTGTTACAGCACAACCTAAATTATTACTCTTTATCGTCTGTCCAGCCATTATAAGTTATTCAACTATCCCAGGCTAAAACAATGATAAAAATTCTAATGTAAGGTTGTAATTGGTAATTACAGCTTTCTTTAATATTTAATAATAATAATATAAATAAATGATTAAAAAGTAATAACATTATTTATTTCTTACTATATCACAAAGTCTAAGGTCAATCAATCTAATGTAAATGTTTTGGTTTCGTGAGAGACTAATATCTGTATAAGATTCTCCTAGCTAAAAGATTATCAGGACCTCACCCACCAGTCCATTTACTGTTTGTTTACAATAAGGAAGTAAATAAAAGAATAGATGTTTTATCTGAAGAAGACTGTGCCTACTGACTGTGTTACTGTGCCTTTTAGAAATGTGCACTATTAATTTCACTGTGAACAACTTTTCTCTGTTAACTTTCCATACTAATGGTACTCATATTATTATTGATTCTTAAGCTTTGACCCACTAAAAAAATGTTCATGTGCACCTACACTACAAGTAAAACCAATCGGCCATTGTAGCCAAATATTATAAGATATTTAAATTACCTTTATACTTTGAGACCATGAACATTTTACATATATTGACTATAAGTCTAAAAATACATATATATGATTAAGCATACAATTCTTTTCAGATAGTTAATAGCAATGGAGTGAAGCGTTTGCATAAGCGTGTGGAACAGTCTGTTTTAAAATATTCCACTTTAGAGAGACGTGGCCTTGGTGTAGCAAAGGTAGATTTTAAATGATTTTTTACCCACTAATAAATTACATTTTTAATACCTCTTGATCAACCGTGCGAGGAAACATTTGAAGCATCATGAGTTAAAATTCATAAGTATACACTTACTCTAGGTACTACTTATAGTAGGTAAAATCTTTAAGAATTAATATTTTTCTAAAATATGGTTGTATATAATATACATATATTAGTCCATTGCTGAAACTTCATGCACTACCCATTATGATGGTACATTATAGCTAGACCTGTCCGTCTACTGTTTCATTAAATTGGATGTAGTAATGCCAAAAGGTTTCAATATGTGGGCCATATATACCACAATAATTCTTAAAAGTCTATGCTTTCATATCATCATCATCATTGTTATAACATCTCATCACAAGTCTTCTTTGCATAGCATTGGCTTCCTTCAAGGGAATGCCATAAAGAATAGTCTTGAGACACTTGTATACTTACATACGAGTAAAAACAATTCCAGCAATAGTTAGTACAGTTACTTAAATAATTATAGTTAACTTTTTCAAAAGTAAAAACCAACTTCAAAGGACTAAAAAGAATATAATCAATGAAATTAATGACAGTGTAAAGAATAATTTGTCCATATGTCGTATCTTGGAAAAATTATTAATTAAACCTGTTGTACTGCTGGTTTTTTGTTATAAAATTAGGCGACATTAGTCTAGTTTAGTTTAGTTTACAATTTACAACGGGCTATTTTCCGCAACTCCACCTCCAAGCGCGTATTTTGCGCGTGAGCAGGAATATCACTATTATTCGAGCCCATGAAACCTCTAAAGAAATTCAGTAGTCTTGATATTATGAACAACTTCGGGTAGTAATCTCGGCGTACCGAGATGTTTAGCCCTTATGCAGCGACTCCTCCAGAGCTCCCTCATACATTCCCTGCGCAGGAGACTATCTGTAAAGAGTCATGTCTTGTAATAGCACTTGTTGGTATCATGATCTGTGGCTTGTTCAATCTCATTAAGCTAGCTTGTTTTTCCAAAGTTGAGCATGTTGATAAGTGAAGCGCTTATGTACCATTGAACAAATGTTACCGAAAGGAATTATTTGTATGATTGTTCCGGCCCTATGGTGACTAGTGCCGATCCTCCCATGGCCAGATCGTCTGCTGCGTCGTTGCCCCTGGATTCACTGTGTCCCTTGATCCATTGAAGTCACATTGTTGTATTTACATACCTCATTTAGTCATTGATTGCATTCATATATATTTGCCCCGAGTTCACCACATTGGAACTCAGAGCTTGTAGTACCGCCATGCTGTCGGTCAGTATTCTGATGGAGAAGTCTTTTACCTTCCTGGCATCTATTGCTATAGTGCTAGAAGAATCTACTGCTATATTACCTATACATTCAGTCTGAAAGACTGTGTTGTACCCCACGGTGTACATATTAGTACGTTAATGTCTTCCAAGAAAGTTCTAGATTCTGCACCTTCATTTGTTTTAGAACTATCCGTGAAAATTCTAAGTTCTTTTGGGTTTAATCCCTCCGACTAGTTAGTTTCATTTAATTGTATTTAATATCTCATCAAACACAAATGATTTGAGCATCTTGTCATATTTGGCTTGTGGGATAGAAATTTTGATGAAAATTCTATCGATTATACCTGTATGAGGGACTCTATTCTTACTCCAAAGGTTTAGGGTTTTGGGTCTAATGGCAGCTAAAGTCGCTTTTTTTGTATGTGTAAGTGAAGCGGGGTTAGCTCCAGCATAGCCTCTAAGGCTGCTATTGGTGTAGTCCTTATGCAGCCTGTGGCAGGCATACATGTCAGTGTCTGATATCGCTGAAGCTTGTTTATATTGGTAGCTTCATTCGTGTTGGGCCACCATACCTCAGCGCCGTATCTGATCATGGGAATAATTACAGTTTTCAGTCACAGTATAATTTTTGGCGCAGGGCGTTTTTGGCATTTTAGGACGATATACTAACTAGCACACGATCCATCTAATAAGTAAGTGGATGCTGTGGCACACAGATATCCACATCTATGTTCAATTAAGAATTAAAATGCAGATACTTTGTCACCGCGGACACACATTGAGGACTAAGATGGAATGCCTTGTTTGCAGTAAAAAGGGGCTTCGGTTGTAAAGAGAGATTGTAGAGTATGAGGAATTATTAGACTCATTTAACCTCTGGAGAGTCATAGGTTCCATGATTCTCCAGAGGCATGATCATAAAAAAAGCAAAATAATGTCTCTTGCTTGAAGCAGATTCCAATGCATGCTTCACTAAATTAGACAATAGTGGATCTTTACAATCACATTCTTTGATTTTTAATGATCATATAATATTGTCGTTTTATAAGTCTTAGTTTATATTTTAATTAACATCACATGATATGATAGATAGATACTACTTTACTTACTTACTATTTCACTGCTGTGGGGAAGTAGGTTAGCCCGTGTATGCTCTTCAAAGCTTTTTTGTATAGAATAAGGGTGACAAGCGAGCACACCTGATGGTAAATGGATTGTGTGGCTCATAGACATCTACATCTATCTTCCATTATGAATCATAATGCAGATGTGTTGTCACCCCTGAGAGCTAAGATGGAATGCCTCGTATCCAGTAAAAAGGGTCTCTGGTTCTCTACATACCATATGAACACAGCAGCATTCAGCTGCTATTTTACACTGGTATTCTGTGAGAGCGTGGTCCTTCCCCGATCGAGCCGACCCATTCCTGCTATAACCATAATATAGCTGCAACTTGGCTCTACCACGTATATACAGTGTGTTACACAAGAACGTGACCACTATGATAAAGTACTCTAGGCTTTTTGCAAAACGAAAATTATGAGTAGGTAACCCAACGTTTTACCTATGACGCATTAGAAAAAAAAGCGGCCAAGTGCGAGTCGGACTTGCCCATGAAGGGTTCCGTAAAAGCAAGTAACATAATTTACGATTTATGACGTATTAAAAAAAAACTATTTACTAAATCTCGTCCAAACCAATTTTCGGTGAAAGTTTACATGGTAATGTACATCATATATTTTTTTTAGTTTTATCCTACCCCCGAAATTTTTTGTTCTTTTTTCTATTTTTGTCTGAAAATCTTAATGCGGTTCACAGAATACATCTACTTACCAAGTTTCAACAGCATAGTTCTTATAGTTTCGGAAAAAAGTGGCTGTGACATACGGACGGACAGACAGACAGACATGACGAATCCATAAGGGTTCCCTTTTTTGCCATTTGGCTACGGAACCCTAACAAACCAGTTCTCGCGTTCACTTCGCACAGAGTGTACGCATCCCGAATTGAATGAAGCGTATGCGTCGCTCTATGAGCAGTGTTCCTTTGTTCGCATCCCAAAGAAACAAAGATGTCACGCGTTCAGGCCGCAAAGTATATGAAAAAGTCAAAGGCGTTCGTGACCAAGTGAGAAAATTAGTATTTAGAAGCAAAACACGTCGAATCCCTACCAGAACGTGGTAAAACAAGAAAGACGTCGTCCGCCGAGGATAAATGGATAACTTGTCTATTTTTGAAAAATTCACGTTTATCTTTGCGACCCGCACAAGAAAAACTAAAGAAAAAAGAGCTAAATATATCTCCAGCTACAATTAGAAGACGTTTAGTTGAGATAAAAAATATCGAAGCACACTGAAGAAACCGCCCCTTTCAGAAAAGCACGTTAAAAAAGAATAGCCTGGGCACTAGAAAACAGACCGCAATTGGGACAAAATTATCTTTTCTGACGAAGCTTCGTTTTGGGCAACTGGGTATCACACCTCGTGCTTGGTCAGCTGCTGATAACAGACTTGTCGAACGAACTGTCAGACACCCAGTAAAGGTGCATTTTGGGGATGCTTCCTGTTCTCTGAATGCTGTAAGGATGAACCAAATATACCAGAAAGAATTATTACCTTCTGCCCGAAGGCTGTTCCCAAATGTGTGGCCCAAATGAATCATGAATATTACATGAAGACAATGGCCCCAAACACCGAAGTCGCCTATGCACCACCTGGAAACAAGATAATTGCATCGAGGTTTTGGATTGGCCCTCACAATCTCCTGACGAAAACCCAATAGAAAACGTTCGGGCGCTTCGAGGGGAAAAAACACTACCTGCTGCCGTAGGTACTTACTCGCAATTTAAAGGTCATATGCCAGAACTATCGACACCTAGTCAGTCGGGACCAGTATGTACACGAACATTCTTGATGTTTCTACAGTAGAAGGTACTGGAAATGATCTGAGGCCCTATATAAGGCCGGTATAGACCGCGACCCGGTCAGTATTGAATTGGCGATACAAGCTAATACTTCTAAGCTATACAACTGCGAAGTAAAATAATCAGTGGTACAATTGTATTTTGTTATTAGTGTGGTTTTGAGTTGTAATTAGTATTCTGTAATTAGAGTGTCAATTTTGGTAATTCACTCGGCAGTTTTTAATTGTCTCCCAGCTCCAAGCTCGTAACATTAATAATAAAGCATCCAAGTACAAATGATTAACTACGTGTTTTATTTTTTTCGAACGCTTTTCTTAATTTTTTTTATAACTTCTGCCGGTCACACTCTCTTGTTACATACTGTATATATAGCGAAATAACATTAATAATAAAAATCCAAGTACAAATGATTAACTACGTGTTTTATTTTTTTCGAACGCTTGTCTTCATTTTTTTTATAACTTCTGCCGGTTACACTATTTTGTTACATACTGTATATATAGCGAAATAGTGACATTAAAACTTACAGTAACAAATTTATTATACACCGTTTTTTTTAATTATTTTTTGGTATGATAATATTTATAGCGAAATAGTGACATTAAAACTTACAGTAACAAATTTATTATACACCGTTTTTTTTAATTATTTTTTGGTACGATATATTCTTATATGACACAATCATATAACATGTTTTACGCTGTGAATTTTAAATATGATTTTATTAGATTAGGTATGTAAAACATAAAATCAAATATTTATTTAGCTCAGCAATGAAATACGTCGGTCGGAGAGTATCACAAGTGGAGACTACGCTCCTTTGAATGAGGGATGTGAAGCACATTGGGAGGTTGTGGAACGAATGTTGTTCCTATATGCTAAGCTGAACCCTGGACAAGGTTATGTGCAAGGAATGAATGAGATCATAGGGCCCATATACCACACATTTGCTATAGACACTAATAAGGAATATCGCCGTAAGTGAAGATCCTATTTCTTATAGCCAACTATTGTATTTAAGAATATCACTATCTTATTATATTTACCAGTTGGGTGTATTTTTTTGCCTAGAATTCCGCCTTGAAACTTACCATCTTTATACCTAATTCTGCTGTTCAGGAGAGAAGCTACTATGTTGTGTATGTATTGCTTAATGTATGTTTGTTTCCCAGTCTGAAGAGCACAGAGTGACAGGATAATTATATGTTGTATGCCATTCTATCTTCGTCCTCAGTGGTGGCAATACATCTGTAGCATTCTTTGTTTAGAATGCTAAATAACAAAATGACTTTCAATAAGTATTTAGTAATAATCTATAATGAATAAAAATTATTCTATTCTATTCTAATGCAGGTCTCCATGGGCTGCAATAGACTTACCGTATAGTAAACTGCAAGTTTGCTTATCACTTCATTTTTTTTCATCAATTTTATAGTGTTGTAATTATTCATTAATAAACAAGCCACTATAGCACAGAATTCATCATTCTTGTCATCGTATAAAATATGGAATGAAATTGAACAGAATAAACCTAGCCCAGACTTCTTCCTTCTAGGCGTGGATGATTATGCCGCCCCGCGTATTTTGGAGGGGGCACAACTCCGCTCTGTGTACATACTACACGAAGAAAACTCACAACGTCACCCCCTCCCACGCTCACTGTGGATTTCTGCAACACAATGGGACGCTGTCCACTACCGTTGTCTTCTCTGCCTAATACTTCTCATTTATCTTACCAAGGTTACAAACTGGAACACTCCTTTCTGCCTCGGGCCGGAGTGTGTGTGTACGTCAGAGAGGATACCTGTTCTGACGCCTCGGTAGTCTTGAAGGACACCTGTCCATCCTGTGACTACGCATAGACGGCGACGACCATCCTCGCGTCTATGGGTATCTTTATAGATCCCACAGCGGTAATGCAGAGACAGACCGACTCATCGACTACGTCCAAATGGCTGCAGATTCCGTGCTACAATTATAGATCCCATCCGCAGAAATCTCTGCGTATGTCCCTGCACAGTCGTACTCCTTGGCGATTTCAACAATCACTACGCCGAATGGCTAGGTTCTCGTACTACCGATCATGCGGGGAGATCTGTTTACGACTTTTGCCTTGGCATATACTGGTCTGACACAGCTGGAAACTTCGCCCACGCGGATTCCAGATGTAGAGGATCATACACCTTCCCTATTGGACTTTCATGTGACCTCTCGTCCGGACGGCTACCAGCTTTCCGTCGATGCCCTTCTTGGCTCTTCGGATCACTGCCTTAACCGGAGTACGGTTACCATCACATGCTCATTGCAGGCACGATCTGTAGGTTGTCGCCGTGTGTCGCACTATAGATCAGCGGATTGGAATGGGATACGGGCTTTTTTTGTATCCTACCCGGAGGCGCATTTGCTCCTCGCTGGATAATCCCAACATCGTTGCTGAGTCTGTCGCCGATGTGGTTCTTCAAGGGATGGAACTTTTCATCCCGTCATCTGTTGCGCCTGTGGCAGATCGCAGCCTTGGTTTAGACGCTCCTGTAAAATTGCGTTGCAGCAAAAGCAAGAGTGTTACAAGGCCTGGGCTAACGCATCGGCGTCTCGGCATGCAATAACTAGAGCACTAAAAAGTAGTACAACTCTGTCTAGATCCTTCAAAAGAGTTATCGCTAGGGCAAAGTCGGAGCACATTGGGAGGGTTGGCGATAAACTAGTTCGCCTTCCTTCGGGAACTTGTGCATTCTGGTCCCACGCCAAGGCTGCCCAAGGCAATTTCTTTGTAAAATGAATGTGAAAATAATCTTTGCGCGGCAGAGAATGCCGATCTTTTAAGTTGTCTTTTTGCGTCCAACTCTACTCTCATTGACGGGGGAACACACCGCCGACCATCCCGAGGTATGAGTGCTCTATGCCGGATGTGCTGTTTACGCAGCGCTCTTTGCGCCAAACACTCCTGTTCCTGAACGTCAACAAATCGAGTGGGCCTGATAGAATCCCCCCAATTGTACTGAAGAAGTGTGCTTCAGAATTGGCACCGATACTGACGCGTCTTTTCCGGTTCTCTTACATTATAGGCGTCGTGCCAGGCTCACGGAAGACAGCCTTAGTACACCTGATCCCTAAAAAAGGTGGTTGCTCGGACACGTCCAACTACAGGCCTATCACCATCACCTACTCGTCCTCCAAAATAATGGAATCCATTAGTAACTGCCAACTCATGCGGTACCTTGAAGAGCATCAGCTAATTAGTGACCATCAATACGGTTTCCATCGAGGTCGATCTTCTTTTATACCTGATTCACCGATGGGCGGAGGCGGTTGAGATCAAGTGGGAGGCCCTGGCGGTTAGTTTGGATATAGCGAAAGCCTTCTATTGGATTTGGCACAAAGTGCTTCTTTCGAAGCTTTGCTCTTAAAGGCTTCCCGAGAAGTTATGCAATTGGGTCACCAGTTTTCTTACAGATCGGAGTATTAAGGTCGTAGTCGACGGTGCATGCTCTGACTCCAAGCCTGTGTATGCTGCTGTTCCACAAGGCTGTGTGCTATCGCCTGTTTCTTCTGCATAACAATGATATGCAACTAGTAACATTCACTGTTATGCAGACGGCCTTGCTAATATTTATCGGGAACACGTCGTTAAGTACCGGAACAAGCTTCTGTCTGAAGTCGAGTCTTTGTTGAAGAAAGTCTCGGATTGGGGACGACTAAATCTAGTCCAGTTTAACCCCTAAAAGACACAAGTTTGCGCGCTTACCGCAAAAAAGAACCCCTTTGTCGTATCTCTTCAATTTCATGGTACTCCCCTCGTTGCCTCAACCAACATCAGAATCCTGGTCGTCGACATTTCGAGAGACGTACAGTTCCGCAGTCACTTGGAAGGGAAGGCTAAGCAAAAGCTTGGTGTGCTCAGTAGTAGATCAAGACGGTATTTCATGCCGGTCCACCTTTTGCAGCTTTACAAAACGCAGGTTCAGCTACAAATGGAATACTGTTCAAGTCTCTAGGCCGGAACACCCCAGTGTCAGCTCGTTCCACTTGACCGTATTCAACAGAGAGCGGCCCGAATCATCGACAACCATGTTCTTTCCGATCGACTTGATCCACTGGCTTTGCGAAGAGACGTTGCATCTCTGTGTATCTTCTACCGCATAAATCACTCAGAATTCCATCATTGCACACTGCGACAGAAGTTGAAATTCCATCTTCATCGTATCGATGGCTGGTGGTCCACTACTGTGCGATTTACACAGAATTTTATGCCTGACACGACCAAACTGTGGAATATTCTGTCGCCAGCGGGTTTTTCAGACAGACACGATTTAGAAACCTTCAAGAAAAGAGCATACTCCTTCCTAAAGGCCGGCAACGCACCTGCAATTCCTTGGTGTTGCGAACATCATGGGCGACGGTGATTACTTACTGAACAAACGAAACTCCCGATCGGCTCCCAATTGGGCCTTTTTATTGCTTCCACCAATTCATTTGCCAATTCACGGCTTGTCAGAAATCTGAAATTAGATAAGTATTTAACTTTATTACGTAACTTTATAACAAAGTATTCAAAAGTTTTATTTTATTAATCTATTTTGATTCTTATCCAAATATTTTTCACAATAAATATCATTATTATTCTAAGTTTGCTTCCGTGACTCGTTTTTCGAGTTTGTTACTGCATATTTCACTATGCTAACTTAAAATTTAAGTAAATACCGTCGAGAGAAACTATCAACATGTCTTAACGTGACGAATAGCGTCGCTCTTGTTTATACTCCCTAACGCATGCTCTGTAATAGCTCTCTGTATCCTCGAAACTTACTAACTTATATCTGAAATAAAATTCAAATCACCTTGATCCAGTGCGCTCATAAATAATGACAGCGTTTTCATAACCACATTAACAAAATCAGTGTTATATTGTCAAAAACAACGTTCGAGATTTACAAAACACTAGAACTAGTCTTCTTGTGCTCTCGCAGTCGACTAAAGGAGTTACGGAGAATTGACCGTTACTTAGTGCGCAATGTACTAAGGCCGTACGTAATACTTAAGTAATACGTAGAAGTCTTTGATACATAATCTAAAAAAAAAAACTAGTAAAGTAAAACATTATCAATAAACCTAGCAAGCTAACAGCATAGCAAAGTGGCGAAGCAATCAGCTTTGTAGCGGTTTCTAACGGTTGCCGTTGAGCAATCACTTTCAAAATAGGAGGTTCAGATGCCTGGGTGATCAGTAATCGATTGCTGAAAACAGGATTTGAAAATTCGAAACCGTTCTCGAGATAATCGTGGGACAGACGGACAGACATCGTGAAATCAATAAGTGACTTCGCAAGCTTCGCCACTTAATAATTATGACCTTTTCCATGAAATCAGTTAACATATAAAATGATTTATTTAAAAAGGATTAAATCAACAAATAAAGGACAACATACAATTATGGAAAAGTACTATACCTTACCCATATACTTATGCTGGCGCGTTAGTCGCTATTATCAAATTAATAACGTTTCTCGCCGTCATCAAATACGGAGATCTGGGTACGAAATAATTATACAGATTTTTACGTTACTCGGCGAGGTGCATTGCGTTGCGTGACGTAAACATTGAAAGTAAAAAATGTAATTTTATATGATATATACGTCCAACGGTTGAACAAAGGCCTCCTCACATTTTTGAGAGGGTTTCAGGGCAAGAAAATGTCCGTCGCGCTTTTCCAACGTGTATTGGCCGTACCTCTTGGTTTTTTAAAAAAATCAGTTCTTATAATTGCAATTTACTATATCATTGGTGCCGGTGGGAACCGGACTCGGATTGCTCTCGTGTGAAATTCACGGTGATTGCCTGAGCTTAGCCCAGTTCTTGGTAGCCAAGAACAAATAAAAATCACCCCGACCGCAAAAGACTTCCCTATTGATTAACTCGATTTGATCGATATACTCGTATTCCTCTCAGAGCATGCAGAAGCTGATTGTTTCTTTTGCTTCACTAATCTCATGGCGGAGATCCGAGATTTCTTCATCCGGACGTTAGACGAGACGGAAAGTGGGATCAACTATATGATGTGCAAGTTAAGCGATTGCGTCAAGAAAAACGATCGAGCCGTTTGGGATCAACTGGAAAGACAGGAGTTACGGCCTCAGTACTATAGCTTCAGGTAATCGTACGCAGCATTCCAAAATTATTTGTGATGTCTGCTGATATCTAGTTTTATTTCACATGTTAATAAAATTCGTAAAAAAAAATTGCCTGCTGTCGAAATATTAAAATACCATCACTAGCAATTGACAAATCACAGTTTGTCTCATAAATTAAGAACTATGTAAACCATAAAATTTTTCTTTAAAAAAATCAGTCAGACAAAATATTGACTCAAAGCAAATTAAAAAAATATATTTGTTTAATATTTCTTAAAGCAAATTATAATTCGTAACGTTACAAACAAGTCTGCGTGGCGGTCAAGCGACCGCAGCCACTAGTTCCTAATAAGAAGGGTCAAACAGGACATGAAGAAAATTAACGTGGGTTTGAAATTGTTCCATTTTATAAGCTAGTATCGTGCAAATGCTTGTTTCAAATAACTGCTAACAGTAAATATATGTGTACAAGTAAGTACTCGACCGGGGCAGGACCATGCTCCCACAGAATACGAGCGTAAAATAGCAGATTAAGATCGCAGTGTTTCGTATGGTGAGTATAGAAACCCGGAGACTCTTTTCCTCGGGTGTGACAACGCAACGGCTTTATGACTCTTAATCTAGGATAGATGAAGATGCTTATGGGATGCAGAATCCACTTACATCAGGTGTAGGTGCTGTGTGCATGTTTTTCACCCTAATTTATTTTAAAAATAAGCTGTGTTTGTGATTTTACGATAAAATTTCCTTTGATTTATGTTAAGGTGTGCTTGCTAGTTATTTAAGCTATGTCATCACATCATCATGATTACAGCCATTCAATAAGTTCACCGCTAAACATAGATCTCACCCACGGAATAGAGTTACAAATATTGATCCTGAACTACCCGCATCCATCGACTTCCTGCAGATATTCACTTCCATCCAGTAGGGCTACGTATAGACCATACAGCTTGCAGGTTGTGCTTGTCACTCGAGAACCTTTCTTCCACTTTGGCTGTCGATTATTCGTTTCTATATTATGATATGCTTACATTATTCTATCTGCCGACTTCCAAAAACGAGATGGTATTCAATTCGACTGTATGTTTTTTTTTTGTGTGTTACCTCATAACTTTTTACTGGGCGAACCGATTTCGTTGTCGTGTGTTCCCGGTCTTGATCAAGGTCAGACCAATAGTTTTATGGCGGCTGTACACGCTCGTCGAGACACCACGAGACAGGCCGAGTACGAGTGTGTACATGGTGCCCTCGTCGCGTCGCGTCGCGTCTCGCGGTCCTCGTTCGTTCTCGGAAGCATGTCGGTTTTTTGCGCTCGAGTCAAAGGGTCTCGTGAGTCTCGCGATGAAAACGAGAGCGCGCCTGTACACACTCGTTCGTTTTCAGATAATTATAAAAATTATCCAAAAAAACTGGTTCAATATTGTCAAATACAATATAGGAACTTACATGGTTCTATTGCAGTGAATAGAAACCATCAACCATGAATTATTAATTTTCTTTTTATTGGAAATATGTAAAAAATTATAATAAAAAATAGCAAAGGCAAAACACAGCAACAGTTTCTTCTACGTCCATCGCAGTGGGCATCCGGAGTTCAAGTGATACAACGAGTGTGTACATGGTGTGCTCTCGTGTCGAACCTCTACGCGACGAGAGGCACGCGAGGCGACGAGACGAGCGTGTACAGCCGCCATTAGAGTTTTTTGAGTTATTCTTAATAACTTATATTGAAGTCGGCAGTACAAAATGTTTAATTTTTAATTATCTGCCATAGAATCTGCAATAAATCCTAAATTTGGCATCATAGGTGAAACCAGTCTGTGAAGTTAATAAACATAAAATATAAAACAATTACAAATTTTATTTACCATAAAAAGTACAGTAGCAATGGGCTTTATAACCAGTAAAACCACTAGCTGCTATTATTGTAGATGTACATTGATAATCAATAAAATCGGACGTTACTTTTAGAAAATCCGTTATAAGTATTAAAGATGTTAAAAATGAATTTGCTGAGATCCGAGTAAAAATAAAATAACGATCATGTCTTACCTAGTGTTAATGAGCCTCGCCCGCCTAAAGAGGAAGTACTATCTCGAAACTAAGTGAGACATTAGAAGAGCATATTTATTTGGATCTTAGGTGCTTGGCGGGTGGAGCACTTCATTTATTTTTAATTTTTATGTCTATCTTAGCTTATTTATTTTTTAATGGATGTACATTAAATTAATGATAATTCACGACTTGCAAACTTGTGCCGAAAAAAAGGGTGGTAGAACGACTGCTGGATCTTGTGACAACCTGTCCATGTTTGGTGCAGGATTTGTTAAATCCAATAGACAGACTCGAGTGTATTATATTAAAAATAATATAAATGGCTGTTGTAATAAGATAATTAACATCAATTATTATCAACTTTAGTTTGTTTTCTCGCAGGTATCCGAACACAACGACAATTTATTTATAAATCTTAATTTCTTTAATCTTAATTTGTTCCAGGTGGCTAACATTATTGTTGTCTCAAGAATTTTCTTTGCCAGACGTCGAGAGAATATGGGACTCTTTATTCGCCGATAGCCAAAGATTTGACTTCCTTATTTATATCTGCTGTGCCATGATTTTGTAAGTTATACATTTTGTTTATTATTCTGTGTTTACAAGTGAATATCTTTATTCATTCTATTTGGAATTTTTTAACGTGTACATTATTACTAAGTCCTTGGTAGACACCAAATAGCAGTAAAATCAGACGATTTTACTGTTTTTAAAGTTTTTGTCAGTACAACTACAATCGTATGCTCGTACGTTAGTGAACATTTTAGTCTCAAGAAGAAATGATGAAATCATCTCGCATCCAATTTTAATGGATATTTAATTAGATAATAATACATTGTATGCAAGTAATTACACCCACGCCTACTTAAGATTATATTGTTTTTATACAGGTTAGTAAGAGAAAACCTACTGAACGGTGATTTCGCGTCCAACGTAAAATTGCTGCAAAATTTTCCACCGATGGATGTTTCCTTGATCTTGAATAAAGCAGTAGAAATTTCTAATAGGTAATCCAGGAATCCCGTTGATTGTGTTGAAATTTTATAGAACTAATACTTATCAAATCAAAATAAAATTTAAGCATTTATGCAAAATTTAATATTACAAAACATTGATATATCAGTGTTTTGTTTAAGATAAAGAAATCATATTATTTGGTCATTTCATGTGTTTTAATACAAATTATGTATTATGTGTTAATTTGAATACCTACTGTAGGTATATCAATATCTCAAAATTATAATAGGATAAAAATCTTCTGTAATTAATAATTTTCTTTTGTCTTTTTAATTTTAAGCATTGATAAGTAATCTCTCATGGAAAAGTAATTTAATAACCTAATACATAATTGTGCCGTACATTATAAAAGTTACCATTTACTAAAATCTAATTCAAGAGCATTTATTGTTAAAATAGTTATTCACGTCCATAGTAATAAATGTATGTATGCAATATTAGTAGATATATGAACTTTATGTTAAATAAAATTAATCGAATGGGCATAGACTTAAAAAATAAACTTGTTCTCTCTGTTAGGTATAGAATTTAGGTTCTAAAGATATACATATAATTTTATAAATATCTAAATATTTTCTATGAATATTGCGCATAGCCATTGGAACTGATGTTTAGTTTTGCAATATTATTTTATAATTATGTACGTTTTAATAAATATATTTACAACAAATAAACGTATTTATTTATTACTTTTAAGAACACATACTCGGTATATCATGTCAAGTGTACCTCGATTCGAGTCGAGACAGTAAACTGATTAACTGGCGCATCTATGAATCCCGGAAGTTGACTATGCATATGTATTTATTTTATAGAATCGAAACGAGCACACAGTCCTCCTGGTGGTAAGTGCATGCTGTGGCCCATTGACATCTATCTTCTATTAAGAATCAAAATGCTGATGCCTTGTCACCCCTGAGGACTAAGATGGGATGCCTCGTATCCATTAAAAACGGTATCCGGTTTACTACACTTACTATGCGAAACACAGCAACATTAAGCTGCTATTTTACGCTGGCATTCTACGATAGCGTGGCGCTGGTCCCCTGGTCGAGCCGACCCATTCGTGCTACAAACATCATGCAGCATGCAACATGCAACATTAGTAGGTATTATTGAGAATTTTCTTTCTAGTGATGATTGATGATTAGATGATGACCATTTGCGTATCGATACGTAATTGTGAAGAAATAAGGTACGGACAGACGTGCTCATTACAGCACGAAAGCATGCTTTTATTGATCAAGTGCTCATTAGTAGCACGTGTATCGCTACACTGCTAGTTATGAGCATGCTTATTTTGAGCTTGCTCAAAAATCAACCGGCGTTTGCAGGCGTGTCACTTTGTAAAAATCTGAGGTATGGAAAATGGTGGCGCGATTTTCAAATTTGTTCGCATTACTCGTGGGGTATTAAGGTTTAAGAGTTTGCAGTGTATATACTCAACTTATTTATTGAACTATAAGATGTGGGGTATTGAGGTTTAAGGGCTTGCGATTTATTTATATGGGGTTTGTAGTAATATGCGATTTATTTCCTAATTTCAGCTATGGAATTCCATACCTTGAAAAACTTGAGGTATGGAGTGCTCCATACCTTCCATAGTGGAAGTGACACCCCTGGGCGTTTGATTTTTGAGCATGCTACATGAGGCGCGGTTAGAAGGGAGCGTGCTCCAAGCGCATTCGTTAGCAACAACCACACATTACAATTTAATAAAAAGTGTGCAATGTTCTTTATAAACAACATAAATAAAATGCTCAATAATTTTTTTTTTGCCTTTGAAAATAATAAAACTCAAATATCACTAAATAGTAACAAAATCAATAGAATAAATAAAAATTACGACACATGACCAATAAAATTGTTTTACGATGACACATATCTACTTGCCGGTCTTTAACTTTTTTGCCGCGCGAAGTGACAGATAGGTGACAAAACCTCCAACCTTTCACCCTAAAGTACGCCTGTAATCCGTTCACATTCATTTTTTTATGTTGTCCATCGCATGCGGCGTACACCACCAGTGGTGGGTGTCGATTGCTGGGTCCGTGAAGACTGCCAGCACCAAGCTGGCTGGCGGGGTTGATGTACACAAAATAACTAAATAAAATAAAGAACTTAAAATCTTTATTTAATACAATTTTTACGATTTGTAATAAAAGTATTATCCTCAGCAAATTACTTGAAATTTACCTTACATTTACTTCCATATTATTTAGGAAAAAAGTTATCTTTTTTCAAATATAGAGGTTGCCAGTATAATTTTTTTTAAATTTATACTAATTATAAAATTACTGCACATTGAAATTTAAAAAAAAACACATGTAAGGTATGCTGTTCCTGGGTGTCAAAAACTATTGTGGTTTTAATACAACACTGCGCAATTAAGGGTTAAAGATGATAATTTCATAATACTTGACTTAATTATAGTAGGATAAAAATCTTCTGTAATTAATAATTTTCTTTTGTCTTTTTAATTTTAAGCATTGATAAGTAATCTTTCATGAAAAAGTAATTTAATACCTAATACATAATTGTGCCGTACATTATAAAAGTTACCATTTACTAAAATCTAATTCAAGAGCATAGTAATAAATAAATGTATGTATGCAATGTTAGTAGATATATGAACTTTATGTTAAATAAAATTAATCGGGGCGGGGTGGATAATCGGAATTCACTTTTATTTGTTCTTCCGACTTTTCAACCCAAGTACAGTACAACACATTACACACCTTAATTATTAATTAATATTTAATAACCACAAACTTGAGGTTGATAAGTAACAGTAAAATAACAATAAAGGTAGGGAAATTTGGAATTGGCCAACGGAACCCAAGGGGGCAGCAGCTGGCCGACTTCATGGACAAAGAGGGACTCTTTATGATGAACTCTTTCTTCCAAAAGCGGTCCTACAGGGAATCGACCTAATCGATTCCCTGACAGTTCGACAAAAATGAGATTAACTTCATTATGACGACTAGATGGCAACTACTCAGTGATGTCTCAGTGAAGGCGAGGGTGAAAACCGGCAGCGATCACTGAACCTAAACGTTAAGTTGGAGGTCACTTCTAATGAAGTCCACGCTTCGTCACCCTCGTGTTCTAATACACAAAGTCCCGAAAAGTTACAGGTCGAGTTACAAAATCGTTTTCAGTGCCTAGAAGATTGCAATGAAGTAGACGATATGAATGACAAGTTCGCGGAAGCTGTCCATGCGTCGGAATTAACTATCGCAAGACTCGCCGAAGAAGAACACAAAAACTCTCCGATCACACTCTTAACCTCATGGCTGTTAGACGGGAAATTAAGCCACAGTCTTCAGCAGATTTGACAGTAAACAGGCAACTGAACAGACAGATCTCCAAATGCATGCGGTGGGATTTACTCAACTTCAATACAGCTCGTATTGAAGAAGCGATCGAGCGGAACCATGGCACCAAAGTCTTTGCCAAAGATCTGTCTCTCAAAAAGAGCTACCTGTCGAGCAAATTGACCATCGGTATATCGAAGTGCTGAAGTGTTTGTACAGTAGGGCTACGATGTCTATCCGAGTACAGAACCAGAGTACGAAACCTATCCAACTGCAGAGGTGTAAGACAGGGTGACGTTATTTCCCCGAAACTCTTCACCGCTGCGTTGAAAGACGTTTTCAAGCTACTGGACTGGAAAGGATACGGTATTATATCAATGGCGAGTACATTACTCACCTTCGATTTGCCGACGATATAGTCCATTTGGCAGAATCGCTGGAGGACCTAAGCACTATGCTCAGTAACCTTAATAGTGCCTCCCAACGGATAGGTCTTAAGATGAACATGGACAGAACAAAGATCATGTATAACGTCCATGTCACCTAAGCCGGTAGTTGTTGGGAGCACTAAGCTCGAAGTTTATTTATTTATTTATTCTCTATTGCATTCCTTAAAACAAAAGAATACAAAAGGCGGACTTAATGTCTTGAGGCATTCTCTACGGTAGAGATTGCCTCAAGACATTAAGTCCGGTTGACTGGTGTCAACCCAGTCAATCGAAGTTTTTGACGAGTATGTTTACCTGGGACAAATAGTCCGACTAGGTAACTTCGACCGAGAGGTCTATCGACGGATTCAACTCGGCTTGGCAGATTTCGGGAAATTACGACGTCGATACATCTTCCCGTCAGGTATACCTCAAAACTTAAAAATGAGATTGTACAACCAGTGCATCTTGCCAGTGATGACTTGTGGATCTGAGATGTGGTCCTTCACTGCTCGCCGTATCAGGAAGCTCAAGGTCGCCAAGGGAGCTATGCTCGGGGTTTCTCTGCGTGATAAACTTAGAAAAGAGAGGATATCCGCAGTAGAACCAGAGTGACCGACATAGCCCAACGGATTAATAAGTGGCAATTGGTCGGCCATATATCTCGAAGAACCGACAACCGATGGGGAAAAAGGTTCTCGAGTGGCAGCCTCTAACCGGTAGGCGAAGTGTAGGGTGACCAGATGTAGGTGACTAGATGGAGTGACGACCTGGTAAGACATGCAGGAAGTCGATAGATGCAGGTGGCTCAGGACCGTGCTTTGTGGCATTCTTTGGGGGTGGCCTATGTATAGCAGTGGACTTGTGAAAGGATGATGATGATGAACCACAAATTTAATCAAAAAACATAATATTACGTATTGCCAATACCGTTGCAGCCTATTAAAGTCCATGCATTACGTTTGCATTTAAATCAAATTAAACTTCGTTTTTAATTATATTATTACGTAATTTATTAATACTGCAATATGTCCAGGTTACCAACACTAATTTCATTATTGAGTAGACGTAATTTAATATACTGGATAAATTTTTCATTTTCAATGTACATTTGAAATCGTTTTCTAATTTCTTTTCTACAAAATATGTGTTAGCGAAGAACTAAGCGTTGTTTGCAAGCATTCCAAAAACTTTACTATCGTATTTCTTGTCGTTATGGTCTAGTATCGTAAGAAGTATGTATATATTT